ATCCATATATTTCGGAAACTGATATTCAATACTTATGCAATGTGCTTACAAATCAAAAATATTATATACCAACTAGCTGACTCGGCAAACGTTGTTTTACCATATACATTATTTCGAGAACTATACATGAAAATTTATCGTACTACAATTATTATATTCGATTACCATCTTACAACCCTATTGCGGTATATAAAAATTGCGATTAAAAAACACGGGTAGATCGTAAAAGCGTGAAAATTGGAATTTGTATGTATTTTTCAATGCCTAATCATAATAAAATGAAAATAAAATAAATTGTCAAAAAAATTAAAAAAATATTTAGGGGTGGGTCACCCCTATCATTGAGGGAATGAAAAATAGATGCTGGCCAATTATCAAACCTACCCAATATGCACTCAAAATTTCATGAAAATCGGTAAAGCCGTTTCGGAGGAGTTTGGTAACAAACACCGTGACACGAGAATTTTATATATTAGAGATATAAATATACCCCGTGAAAAATGTTCCAGTGCTTAGAAATAAAATGTACAGGATAAGATTACTTCTTCAAAAGACATTTTCCCGCTTTGATTTGAAACCTCTATTTCAAATAACGACTTTTGATTTGCGTCTCTCAGTTCCTATAGGTGGGTACATTTTATTTCGTTAGATTTATTTGATATTTATACATGGCGGCGTCGCCTCGTTCGGCGTACCTTTGTATTACGTTTTCTTGGGATATTAAACTTTGAAATTTTCATAGGAGACGTAATATTTGAATTGTGTTTTTGAATGGCGCTCTCGTAGGTGTGGATTGCAGGGTGTGGAACAAATTATTTTATTGATCGAAAAAATAAATGTAGGTATGTATAATTTACGAGAGGTAGACTTTGTATAAAAGTTGATTGCTTGGGTAACTCTGTCCCACTCGTGTTTCTGCTGTTGTGCTGTTGGCATATACTGAATTGGCATCAGTGAGAGATGATAGGTAAAAATGCAGTTCAGTTGGCTCATCATGATGAACTTAAAAAGAATTAACCACAAAAGATTTCCGATATCTACCTAATAAAGTATATACCTTATTATAAATTTATTTATTTATTCATTTAGGCACAGCAACAGTAATACAATTCACATTACATTGGCTATAATAAGCTTTATAACTTAGTAATTGTTTTAAAATTGTACACCGTTAATTGCTACGCACAGCGTTAGCTTATACTAGCTTCAATATTATATACAATAACAATAGAAAATGAGAACAATTCGTCACCTCTATGGTAAACTTACGAAACTGAAATAAATACATTTTACAGGGGAACGTTTTGAAATATTAGAATGCAAATAACTTTCGATAGAAGACTACTGTAAAAGATCATGATAACATTTTAGTTTTAAAATCCTGTTTTTTATTGAATGCGCTTAATTAATTATTATTATATTACAAGTATCAGAAATAAATGCATATTCGTTACTTTGCACCTTCATACATGAGAGTTCCTAGGTATTGAGTTTTACCACAGCAAATCTACGAAAGTGGCAGTTTCGTAAGTTGCCAAAGAAAATAATTTATTTTAATATCTGGCAAACTAACGAAAGTGCCACTTTCGTAAATATACCTAGGTTTTTTTTTTTTTGTGCTATGTACTGGATTTGAGTTCCTAAGCACTTGCGTTTGCGCTTTTGGTGTACGCTCGCATATGCCAAGGTTTGCAGCTGGTTAACTTATAATATGGATGATGGATTTGGGCTTCAACATTTAGTGGGTACTGAGAGCATGATCTTTCTGATGCGGATTGATGGACGATGAGTTGTCATGGTGAGGTTTACAATTTGCAGGTTGGCAGTTGATGGAGTTGATAGAAAATTTTGGAGAAGATTTGAGAGTTTATGAAGAGGGTGAGTATTGTATATATATATTTATATAGTTTTATATGTACATCTATTTATTTTATATGTATAGTATATAGATATATATATATATATATTTGCATATACGTAAATAAATATGTATTTATATATATTTATACAGTGCTTTAACCTTGCCCAACACAGATGTGTTAGGTTCGGTTAAAGGACTTGGCGTTGTTGATAATGCATCTGATGTGTGTTTTGAAGCTATGCACAGTGGATTCTTTTCCGATGATCTCTAGTAAGTTGTATGGGGCGACGCCGGCCATTCGGCAAGCGGTCTCATGGTCGAGTCTGGTGGAGTCGAACCTTGGGCAGGCCCGGATGAGGTGATCCATGGTTTGCTGGAGGTCGGCGTTGCATGGGCATTTGTCGTCAGGGATGATCCCGAAACGTTTAAGGTAAGCTTTATGATATCCGTGTTCTGTATAGAATTGTGTGAAATGGAAGTCAGGGGGTAGCACTTGAATAACTTTGGAAAGAACGTCGTAGTTCGGACACCACTGTTTTATCTGTTGACAGTTGTTGGCGTCGTTGTATAGCTCCTGAAGCTCTTCGCTGCTTTGTTTCAGATAGTGATGTTTCGTGTAGCTGAGCGGAAATTTGGCAAACATTGGAACTGTTCGGGAATTTGCGGCCGCCTTTGCCGCCAGATCTGCCTCTTCGTTCCCGGGTATCTCAATGTGCGAACGGGTCCATATGAATGATATCTGTAGTCCTTTAAGTTTGGCTTTGTGCAAGGTATGGAGAGTGCTGTTGGCTAAATGATTGGTACTGTTTGGGTTGGCAAGTTCCAGAAGGGACGACATGCTGTCTGTTAGGACAGTTGCAGGTGTGAGATTGTTATGCAGGATGTGTTCGCAGGCCCGGTCGATGGCGACCATCTCCGCCTGGAAGACCGAGCACGCTCCGTGAAGTTTGAGTTTCTTGGTAGCGATGGTTGCCCCGCCTGGGCTTCGGATGATCATAGCGGCGCCGACTCCACGTTCGTGCTTACTCCCGTCAGTGTAGCAGGAGTAGGAGTCTGTGCTTAGAAGTTCAGTGACTTGTTCGACGGTGTGTGCTTCCTGGTAAGTGATGCCTCGGCGCAGGCTGGGGTGTAAGAGGTCCGAAGGAGGTGCAGGTGAGTCCAGTGGGATGTCATGCGGGAGTGCGTCGGTGACCTTCTTGATGCGGGCCGACTCGGATTGCGCCGCCGCCCTGATTCTCCCGCATACGGGAAATAATCCGGCCAGCGTGATTGCCGCGGGAGAGCTTAGGGTTCTGAAGCCTCTTATGATGGTGATGGCTACTCCTCTCTGCAGAGCCACGAGTTTGTCTCGACAGTATTTATATTTGAGGGCTGTACTCCAGATAGAGGATGCATAACAAAGGATGGGTTCGATAACTTGAAGGTAAAGAGTCTTAACGTTATGTGGGTTTATTCCCCAGGTGGGACGGATGAAACGGATGAGTTTGTTGTAAAATTTTTTGCATTTATCTATGACGTAATTGACGTGGTTGACGAATTTGAGTTTCCTGTCGATGATTACTCCGAGTAGTTTCATCTGGTTGCAGAGAGGAATAGGCTGCCCGTCCATGTATAAACGGCACTTGCGAGCCCGGCTGGTAAATGGGACGGCGACGGTCTTCGATGGACCGAATGTTAATTTGGAGTCGAGACCCCATTGGTGGATTATGTTGAGGGCTTCATTTGTGGTTTGTTCCAGCCTGGAGGAGCAGTCCGAACGCACAATCAGCAGGACGTCATCTGCAAAGGCCTGAAGATGACACCCCTCCGGCAGATGCAGATCGAACAGCTCGTCCAGGACCAGATTCCACATGGTCGGGCCACAGACTGAACCTTGGATGCAGCCTCTGGACAGTGGTTTGGCTGCCGTGACATCGGCCAGATTCAATGTTACCCAACGGTCCTTCAGGTAATTGTCCAAAATGCAATATAAGTTGCGCGGACACTTGATATGTCGGAGTCTGCTGAGTATAATAGGCCACCAAGCATAGTCGAATGCTGCCTTGATGTCCAACGACACGGCTAGGACCTGGTCTCGTGCTGTAGAGGCGGCTTTTATATGGTTAATGGCGTTGTCGAGGGCGTGGGCGGTAGAGACCTGAGGCTTGAACCCATATTGCTGGGTATTGTTGGCGTTGGTCGTGTGGATGTGGTGAGTGAGACGTCGGGTAATGAGTTTTTCTAGAAGCTTGCCCATGTTATTGAGGAGACCTATTGGACGCGATTTAGGTTGTTCGGCGTTGCCGTTGCCCTGCCCGTTCTTCGGAATGAGTTTTATACGGGCCACTTTCCATACTTTAGGAAAGTAGCCGATCGTGAGGCATCTGTTCATGATCGCTGTGACGACCTCGGGGAGGGATTCAGTGACCGCTAGAACAATGTCAGCGGTCAGATGGTCCGGTCCAGGTGCCTTCTTCGGGTTCATCTCCCTGGCCGCCAGTAGTGTTTCCTCTTTCGTGAACGGGGGCTCGTCTCGGTTAATGGGGGGCGGTGACTCTCTCGCCTGCCGATATTTGAGATGCGACTGCCTAGTGTCCGCAGTGTCATCCGGAAAGTATTTGTCGAGTAACACCTCTGCGGTTTCCTGTGGATTGCGGGTGAATGAGCCATCAGCTTTCTGGACAGTGGATGGGGGCTGCGGGCAGGGACGCGTTTTGACGATCCGGTTAGTGACGGACCAGACGTCTTCCTTTCCCTGCCGGTTGCAAAATTCTCGGAAGTGCCTGGTGGAGCTTTCATTAAATAGTTTGGAGTATTCCGCACGTAGGGAGTTCTTGACCGCTATAGCCTCTTCCAGGGGTCTGCCTTGCCGTTTCAGCCTAATTAATTTGTGGTGTTGCCGGATGACTTTCCTTTTGCTGCTTTCCAACTCCTCGCTCCACCACGGACACCTGGCAGTGCGGGGTTGGGTGCAAGGAAGCCATTGTACGCATGCGGTTTGTACTGCAGTTGTCAATTCCTCTATGAAGTTCTCCAATTCCATTGAGTTCATGGTTGGGATGTCAGTGTATTCTTTTAATTCCGCAGGGAGTAGCTCGTCGAGCCTGTCCTTGAACTCACTCCAAGAGACCCCCGCGGTGGCGTATTTGAAAGTGGTGAGTTATGCATGGCGGTTCAGATCGCGTTTGTTGACATCATAGAAGAATTCCACCGCATGATGGTCTGATGCTGGACATGCGTCGGGATTGACCCTCCAATTAGATATTCTGTCCGCAGCCCGGCCAGAGGCCAGAGTGATGTCTATTATTGACTCTCGAACTGCACCGGATGTTGTCGAGACGAAGGTGGGGGAGACACCCGTGTTGCACACAATCAGGTTGGACGTCATTATAAACTCGGCGATCTCATTACCTCGACGGTTAGCTCTAGGAGAGCCCCACATGGGGTGCCATCCGTTGAGATCCCCTCCGATGATGTGAGCGGCGTCAGGGTTGGCTTGAACAAATTCCTCCAGATCACGGAGTGTTCGGTCAACGATGCAGTTTTGTGCGGCCGCAGCCGCCCCGCTTATCCGGGGTTCGAGGTAGATGCACGTGACATAGACTTTCGCACCGTTGAGGTTGATTCGGATCGAGCACAGATTAGGGCTGGAATGCTGCCTCATTCCGATAGTAGAGATGTTTCCTTTTTTGACCACTATGCAAGCTTTGACACGGCTGCCATCGGTGTACTGGTAAACGTCGTGTCCGTGAGTATTTGTGACAGTGGTTCCAGAGCCGGTGTAGGGTTCGTTTATGAGTGCGATTTGGTAGTCGTTGTTATGAAAATACTGGAAGAATTCGTGCTGAGCTTGGAATCCTTTGCCTAGATTGGCTTGAAGGAACCTTAAAGCGTGTGGATTTCTATGTCTGCGTTGCTGGCGTGTTTGGTGGCGATGCCGGTTGCTATTGTCTTTGTGTCTAGTGGCCATAATCTGTCCTTTCTCTAATTAAATTCATCATTCGTACCACCTGAGGGCACGAGGAGGATGTGGCGCTGTGCGAGTGGGTGGATTGCTTGGAGGAGTCGGCTGCGGATTTCCGTTGGGCGCAATTGTAGCATTTGGCCTGGCTAGAGTCTGCTTTGTGTGGGCAGTCTCGGTACTGGTGACCGCTGGAGGAGCAATGGGAGCAAATTGTATTTTCATAAGTGCACTTTTTCCTAGAGTGCCCGAACCTCAAGTACTTGAAGCATTGGAGAAGCGGGGTGTACGCTTCCACGTGTACCCGCTGGTGATCGATGTTAATGTGGTGGGCGTCGACGATGGATTTGTACAGGCGAGGGAGGCGGTGAACACCGCGTTGTAAAGGCGAGGGTTTCTGTTGCCTCGTTTGAATGCGAATTTGATATCTCCGGTTGTAGCGTCGGGAGTAGTCGCTTCCTTCACGCAATCGTTCTGTGTGGTGATAATGTCGGTCAGTTCCTCCACGGGTGTACTGTTAGATATACCTTTCAGGATGAACATAGGGTTGAGTTTCCTGGCGATGACCGCACTCACGGAGGAGGTGGGCTTGTTTACCTTCTCTATGGCTGTGTCCAGTTCCTGCTGGGTGTCGAATTCTACCCTGATCTTATTGTTCGACACATATTTAACGTTGGCAGGGGTGAAGTTGGTGTCCCTAAAAGAGACGGCCTGTCGCCATTTTTGGTGAGTCTCTTCGCTGCTTTTGGCTTCGTTTTTCGACTCGACTATGATTGCCGGTCTATACTTTCGAACTGGTTTGTTCACAGGTGCTCACAGCGTCGTTGCTGGCTTCCTGGTTGCCGCCGCTGCCGCCGCATAGGTGGTCTTAGGTCTGGAGGTGAGCAGGGCCTTGATTTCGGCGATGTCGCTCTTTAGCGTTTCTATTTCTGTGGCGACTGATGCGTCAGTTTGGTCGGTACGAATAGTAGTTTCGAGGGTGGTATCCGGCCTAGCAAGAGGAGACGGTAAACTGAGCAGTGTTCCAAGTAGGGTCTGAATGTTTTCGACTTCTTTGATAGAGCCGAGAGCTGTGGAGTTGATCCTATCTTTGTTTACTCTGGAGAGATAGGTCCCCTCGTAGACTTTTGTAGATATAGCTGTGAGGTTGTCCTTGATTTTACCCAATGATTCTTGGATGAGAGTGCCAATGTCGAGTGGAGACATCGGCGTTTGTTCCTGGCTATCGGTAATATCGGTTGCCTGAGATGCGTCAGGGCTGTCAGTTGCGGGGTTGGAATCCACTATCGGTCTCCAGGTCGGTAAGAAATCGGTAGATGAAGAGCTCGACGGAGGTGGTGATGACCGCGCGACTGAGGCCTCCGCTTTCCGCGCCTCGGCCGCCTCGGAAGGCAAATTAACCGGCCTCCTGGGCGGGGACCGTGCTAACGGCATTTTCTATCTAGTTGAATACAATTACGGTAGCGGTTCTTAATTTAAAAAGAAATTTAACTTTGTTTCTGAATCTAACGGCAGTAAGCGTTCCTAAGTAATGACAACTTTCCGAAAGTTGCTCCGATCGGACCGAGAGTGGGCTCGTCGGACGCGGGGCGACGGGTAGATGGCAGAAACGAAAGAATCGGGACAGGCGCGGGAGGAAAATTCGAAAGTTATGCGGGAAAAACGTGAAAAATTCACGTTTTTCAAAGTCGGTTGTATGGGCGAGTGAAAGCGAGACGTATGAAAGGTGCGACGATGGATAGAGGACGGCGAGACACGACTTATGATATATCACACTTGGGGGTGGACAGCGAAAATTGGGGTGAAAACCGATAATATACCTAGGTATAAACCACGTGTTTTGGTGAGAACTTCAGTTTAAATAACAACGTTATAGCAATCATTCATGCAAAATAAGTAACTTAGGATTAAAAAATTGATAAAATAATTATTGAAATATTCAAATTAAAGTGTTTATTATAGAAAATACTATAAAAATAAACTAAGTTTACTTTGGATATATCACAAAAATATGGAGATTCGAGCTATTCGGTTTCTTTAACCGTTAGAGATAGAAATTTGAAAATAAGCCACAATAAGTAGTATGACGCAAAATGTAGATTTTTAAAGATGTGTCAAATTTGAAAAATCTGTAGATTCGTTAATTTGCCATAGAGGTGACGCATTATATATTAAATTCAGACACTTCTTTTGCTATTTTAAGAAAAGAATTTAAATCGTAAACAAAAATGTCCAATTTATTACAATAATTTACAGTCTGCATATGCGGAACTAAGGATCATTAAAAATTACATTTTTATTACAATAAGGTACACGAAATAATTTTAGTGTTCTCTTATTACCTCCTGTTTTAAACGAAACATGGCTTAACAGATCGATAGCATCCCACTTTGCATAAATATAATAACATAAAGTGTTGATATACCTCCCCATTATATTATATTTATTTATATTTTATAATAATTTGAATACAATTTCCATTATTTATATTATATTATTATTCATATTGTTAATATCTTTACTCATTTAATAATTTAATTATATTTTAATGTTTGTCAAACACAAGGCATGCTGTGGTTGCCTATAAATGTAAGAACAGTGAGATCTGAGCTGCCAGTGTATTGTATTAAAATTTAGCTTTATTGTAGCCGTATCTTATGTTGGTAATCCTATAAATAAATAAATAAATAAATAAATAAACATAGCTAGCAATGAGGTTTTTGACGTATGTTATGCGGTATAGTCATAGTTCTTAAGGACGGCAACGTATATAGGATATCACAGGTATCACAGTTCATCCGTGATAGTCATCTTACTTCATGTCTTTAGGTTACAGTTACCACTACTATCAGGTGGGCCGGTGGCAGATCGGTATTTCGAGTTATGTGACCAGCTCATTGCCACTTCAGCTTACTTCTCCTTCGGGCTATATCGGTGATTTTGATTCTTTTGCGCATATCCTTATTTCAGATACTGTCACGCGAAGAAACTCCGAACGTAGCTCTCTCCATAATATGCATTAGATATTAGACACTATATGGCAACATAATCTTCAAGAAAAGAGTATATTCCTTTTTAAAAGGCCAGCAGCACACCTGCAATGCCGCTGGTGTTTTTTTTTTTTTTTGATGTGTGAAAATGGTATGCTAACGGGATATGCTGGTGGAGCACCAGTGAAGGGTGATAGATGAGAATGAAAACAGATCAGTTAGCCCATCATGATGAATTCATCAGGAATTAACCATGATAGTTTCCAGGGGGAATCGCGTGGATTGTCGACCTGGTTGGGTATATTGCTAGCAATGGGATTCTCAGTCTCTATTACTAACAATCCCTTTCCCTCCATGCCGCTGGTGTTGTGGGTGATCATGGGCGGCGGTAGTCACTTACCGTCAGGTGAGCCGCATGCCGATTGCCGTTTGCCCCCTGTGTTGTAAAAAAAAGATATCTCGTAAAATGACTTCTGGTATATGTATATATACATATATAAAAGGAAACAACAGCATTCGCTTGTATATTATTACGATTCGCTTTGGTTAATTGTTTCATTTACATGATAATCGCATTGCATTACGTCGGGGTCGGGCGAGGGACTCAATTTTGTCGCATTACGCTCTTTATATCTGTTTTGTTACTTCGTTTCTCTCAGTGGTCGTTTCCCTTCATCTAATTTCTGTTGAAGTATGCCCGTATAGTAAATTGGATATCCATTATTTTATATAATAGGAATAGAAAGAAGAGTTAAGAGTACTTGGAAAAAATATTGGTTTCTAAGTGAAGTAATGAAAAATCCGAATATATAAATTAAGATATAAGCCTTTAACTATCCAACGTTGAACATTTAAAGGCCGTGTTTTTTTTTACAACACATGGGGTAAACAAGCATGCGGCTCACCTGATGGTAAGTGACTACCGCCGCCCATGATCACCCACAACAACAGCGGCATTGCAGGTGTGCTGCCGGCTTTTTAAAAAGGATATGTTGTCGTATCGGTTCGGAAATACTGCTGCTGGAAGTTGATTCCAAAGAATGGTTGTGCGTGGAAGAAAGTGCCCTGAAAAACGCACAGTGGAAGACCGCCACTCGTCTAGATGATCGGGATGAAACTTTAGTTTGTGGCGGGTTGTACGGTGGTGAAAATCAGCAGCAGGTATCAATCCGAACAATTCCTCAGAACATTCCCCATGATAAATTCGGTAGAAGATGCACAGAGATGCAACATCTCTGCACAGTTTCAGTGGGTCAAGTCGGACAGTAAGGCGTTGACTATCAATAATTTGAGCTACCCGACTATGAATGCGGTTTAACGGAAGGAGTTGGTACTGTGGCGCTCCTGCCCATAAGTGTTGTGTTGGGGGTTTTGCTAGTAGTTACCACACTTTGCAGGTGGGTTTGCAACCGTAGTTAGGGTTTCGAGATGTTTAGATTAGAGGGACGCTGCTGTCCATCCCTCGGCCTACTTAGTCGCCTCTTACGACACCCATGGGAATGGATGGGGTGGCCTATTCTATGCCGAGACTATACATGGCAGAATATGATCATGGACATAAAAAAATTAACTAACCACCAAGACGCTTGAAAACATTTGCATATGTATATCGTAGCTCAAAACCATTTTGATCATTTCAACTTGGAAAACAAAAAAAAACGCATTACAATCGGCCCATTCATTGAAACCCAGTTATTTTTATTTAAAAACTAAACTATTTTACCCATATCCATTCATACAATCAAACTGTTTATAATTACTCCTCTCCATCCAAAGGTTGCTTGGAAGAGATCGCTTTCAGCTATAGGGTCGCCCATTGTTTTCTCATTGTGATTATTTCTTGTAATTGTTTATATTTATAATAAGTTTACTATTGTAATCTTTTGAAGGAAACAATAAAGAGTATCTATTTATCTATCTATTTCCATTTTTATACATATTTCATTATAATCACTATGAACATTAATCTTCCATATTTGTTTGTGTTCAAATTGGTAACCATGTTCTGAATAGTTAAAACAGAACTTTCAAACTTGAATTTGTTAGCAACGAATTCGTGCAATATTTCACTGTAATCTCGTACAAAACTTAGTTGTGGATTTATTTTATTGATATTTTATTCAAAACTTTGAGGCACACTGGCTGTTTGGCACTTCTATGACCTTAGTTATATATTTATTGGAGAGACAGTGTAAATTCTTAAATAGGTTTTGTGTTATCAAAAATGAATGCAAGAAGGGAATCCTCAATTTGTCTTAATTTTTACCATAACACAGTGTTGAACGATAACATCGCTAAGTTATCAATAAATTCTCATTTATGACACAAAGAATATTTAATGGGTTACCTTCTGACATTAAGGTATTGTCTCTGATTAAATTTAAAAAAGAGCTAACTAAATGGCTTCTGGACAAACTCTTTTATAGTATTAAGGAATATCTTGAGTGTTAAGCGTGATATTCTAATTATTTTACCCCTTCTATTGTCATTTTTTATTTTGTAAATTTATTGTATTAGTTGTTATGTGTAGATATATGTATAAATGACATAATGTACTATAATCTAGACTTTTAATACGTAAGGTCAATTTAAATAATGTAATCGAATTATAATTTTGTTTACCGGTTTTTTTTTTATATACAATGTAAAATATTTGCATGCCTACATCTTTTAAGGCATCTAAACGAGTGCCAAAATAATACCACGTGGCTTGTAATAATTTTAAACTGTTGAATGCAAACAAACTCATTTCATTTCGTAACCTACTTTATGTTTTTATTAAAAAAAAAAATCTACTATCCAATTAGGATTTCTTTTTACGCAACTTAGAGTTTACATAACTAATTGACTTAACCATGAGTCATCAGATCTAAAGGTATGGGCAGCAGCGTCCCTCTTAATAACTTCAAAAACTTAACTGTGATTGCTGACCCGCCTACCAGGGGGTGAAGGGATTGTTAGTAATGCACTCTGCTATGATGATGATGATGAATTTATAAATATATCCTTCCTTTAGATAAATAAAAATCGGTAAAAAAACTTTTAAGTTAAACGGTTTTATTTTATGTGCACTGAAAACTACAAAATAAATAAATAGTTACTTACCTATCAACCTACGTAGGTGATCTCGGTCATTAATATCTCTGATGGTAGTGGTTGTCATAACATGAACCATGTCAGCGGCCGAAAGGCAGTTCATGAGAGAACACTAACACCAGGGTTTGCTTGGTAGGTAAACTAAGCAGCCCGCACTATAACAAGTAGGTATTTTGACCTTCTAGTTCAGAAATATTTTAGTACTAGGCAGAATAGCTTTTAGGCATATTAGACTAAAATAAAAACGTGGGGCCCATTAACTATTTCTGTATTACTTTCTACTATACTAAGTGTGGATTGCACTTATTATATATTGCCCGGTCGCATCCGAAACCTCATAGCTCCGGA